CGTACGTAGTAGTAGTAGTAGTAGTAGTGTTCGTGTGTGTGTGTGTGTGTGTGTGTGTGTGTGTGTGTGTGTGTGTGTGTGTGTGTGTGTGTGTGTGTGTGTGTGTGTGTGTGTGTGTGTGTGTGTGTGTGTGTGTGTGTGTGTGTGTGTGTGTGTGTGTGTGTGTGTGTGTGTGTGTGTGTGTGTGTATGTTTCACATCTCTCCAGGAAAGGTGAGAAGAATAGAGTCTTTTTCTCCCCACCATCCATTCATTGAAAGCAAGGAGCAAAGTCTAGACTGAGTCCCAGATGGGGGATTCATAAACTGCAACAAATGATGACAAAATGGTTCCAGCTGCCCTTGGTAGCCGGCTGGGAATGGATCCGCTTGGCTCCTATGTAAGGGGGGGGACATTTGACAGAGTCTTTACCAGGTCCTGCAGCCGTGTCCTCTCTGAGCTGCAGAGAAGACACTTTTTCCTGCAGTGTCATTTATCATCAGGAGCAGGCATTAGCACACAGCCTGAACTGATCCTGTCAAATTCTGCTAATCTCGAGAAAAAAATAATAAATGTTTATATTTTCTATAATAATTTGTTTTGTCTGTTAATCGTCAGAAAATGTCCTTCTGTCAAATTAATTAAACCTGTTTAACCTGTTTAATTTGATTTTGATTAACCAACGTTACTAGAGGAAGATAACCACATAACATAATAAGATTTGAGAAGCTGGAAACATTTTGGCTTAGTAACAACTTCTCAACAGTTTAAACAGATCAATGTATTCACTGACTGACTATTTAAGCCACTAATTGTTTTACCTTTACATTACATTTTTGTAAAATCTAGAAAAGTCTATGAATGGATTATTAAGTTTGTGCTCGAATCAGTACATTTTGGCTTTAAAATAAATTCTAAAATGATTAATCGCATACATAAATTGGTTGCAGATCAATTGTTTATCTATTGACAATTTGTTTAATCAACCTTCTATTTCAGAAAAAAGGATAAAAGTGGATGGAAAATGGTGTGTTGACCAATAAGCCAGCAATTATCAAAAAAAACTAAACAATTTGCTGCTTTCATTCAACAACAAGAATCTAAATTTCTATATATTGTTGGATACTCACTGAAAATAATAAAGCCTGTCTGCATTCACCTGTGTGTTCCTCGTGTTCAACAGCAGGAAACTTATCTGAACCCTGCTCACGTACACACTCACCTTAAAGATAAAGATCTAGTGCCAACTTTTCCTGCCAAGGGCGAAACTTAGCAGAGCTCTGCGGGGCTGGATCTGCTGCCGTGAATGGCACGCACAGATGCGTCAATGACAGCGGTGTTTGGAGGAGTATGACCTTTTTCTGCATCCTACAGGTCCGGCTGATGCAGTGCACTCTCTCTCAGCAGTACTGTACGTGGCTCAACTTGTGCACTTCTATACTGCATGCATCTGAGGCAGCAACCACGCTGAAAACGCAACGAGCTGCTGGGAAAAAACGTAATTCCTAATTTTATATTTTCCAACACGAAGGCGGCTGGATAGGGAAAGGTGTCTACTCACCAGAATATGTGATGTTATCTCTGCAGCAGCGCTTGTCTCGCACAGATGATGAGATGCTGTAAATGAGACACTGCGGTCCACATTTATCCGCTTCCCCAGCAATCCTTGTATGTGTGAGAGAGTGTGTGTCGAGCCAAGGGTATGGAAAGCTGGAGGCGGTCTGCTTCACGTCAGGTGGAAACAGACGTGATTGTGTGAATCGGAGAGATCCTCGTCGGTGTTTTTCCTCAGCTCACAGACATCTCAACTCTTCCACTCTGCCTCTCTCCGTCTCTTCTCACCCTCCTCTCTCCTTTGCTACCTCCTCTCTCCTCTCCCTCCCCACCGGGCTGGGCATGCCCAGTCCTTGCATCCTCCTCACCAGCAAAGCAACACTTTATTTCTTGCTGGCCTACAAGTTACTCAGGTTCACCAAAGTAACTAAGATGGTTACATTTACTCAAGTACTGCTGCCCTACTACTTAAATAAAATGTGTACTCATTCATACTCAACTATAGTTTTTGCTAAATATAATTACATTTTAAAGATAAACATTGTGTGGTGGGTAGGTCATTTTGGAGAAACCACCTTGAGTGCGCTATATTTGAAAATACACAGCCGGAACAAATCTGCCACTTCCTTACAGAGCCCTCCTCCAACACACACGAACGCGCACATGACCAATGAGGGCACGAGATAAGTTTGTGCACAGATGGAAGGCTGACAGGCAGGTAGGCCATCCAGTTATTTTAGCCGGGCCGGCTCAGATGATTGGTCGTGCTTTTTACAGTACTACGGCTTACACAGATTAATTTTTTTAATGGATTTTTTGTCAAAGCACTTAAGATATTCATTGCTATCGGGATGTTAAGAGCATTCCATGGAATATAACAAAAAGTGTATCTCGAGCCGGTTTCTCAAACTTACATACCCCACCTTTAAACAACACGTTAAAAGCCCCACGGACCCGCCGAAGGGGCTGAAACCCAACATCTGCAAGCAACAGTGTCTGAGGGCTTCTAAAGATTTAATAAACTATGAATGTTTCATATCCATTTAACGGGAAGAAACTCAGCTAACTGATGATATGAACCATTTTTAGCAAAAAAAAACACAAGACTAACGCTGAGCATCTGAATTAGAAAAAATGCTAACGCCGTTAGCACAAAACTCACGGTATAAACACCCTTATTACTTATCGTAACTGCACATCCAACCCATCGATTAGCATCGTGAGATTACACAGATTCTATAGGTATCAGTATCATCACTCCATGATCGAAACTTGCGGCATGAGAAACAAAAACAGACATCACAACACGTAGCATCAGGTAGCAAAACCGGCACATTTCCAATTAGCTGTTATTCTGATCAAAAGTTGTCTTCAATGGTATTACAACGATAAAAACGCTGCTGAAGGTCAATCCATAGGTTAATCCAATGTGTCTGTGTCAATTTGAAATTATTTCTGATAATCCATCAGCAATAAAGCTAGCTTTCAGTTTTCAGATTTCAGAGCGTAAGATAGGTTTCACATTGGGCAAACTGCCTACGCATAGCTCCCACTTCTCAATGGTAACGTGTGTGTGTATGTGGAACTTCTCCTTCGATTATATTGGCTCTAACGGTTCAAAAGAGATGTCAATCATCAAAATCGACCAATGGGTTCCAGAGAAACGGCAAATACGCCCAGATCAGCCCAAATGACCCCAGAGGTGTTTTTTGTGCTAAATCTCTCAACATTTTTTAAATGTCACTTGTTTTGCATCAATCTTGATACAGGGTACTTATAATATGCTGTACTTGTTCAATCTGAATTACATCTTTAAAATAAAAACAATTCTATATTGATTCTGACTTGTCTACATCCAACTCACAGGTTTATCATTACTTTGAGAAAAAAGATTATTAATTTACCCCTTTTAGAAGTGAAGTTATTGTCACTTGTTGTGGAAATGTCATTTTCGAGCCTCAGACCTGAAAAACAGGCTAAAGGACATTGTGACCTGTCTCCATGCTTTAATGTTCCAAACAGTTTTTATTTTTCTCGTACTGCCTGTGCTGCAGCACCTCTTTTCACCCTCTGTCTGAAACCAGAGACCAGTCTGCTCTGATTGGTTAGCTGGCCGGCTCTNGTCACTTCCTTCAGAAACGAAGCAAGTATACTTCCAAGCCACGGCTTCGGAAAACGAAGAAGAATGGAACAGGCTAACAAGTGTGCCACTCTCTCTAACCGTTAGAGAGAGTGGCACACTTGTTAGCCTGTTCCATTCTTCTTCGTTTTCCGAAGCCGTGGCTTGGAAGTATACTTGCTTCGTTTCTGAAGGAAGTGACTTGGAAGTATGCGACTACCAAGCCAGTATCCTCGCGATTGAGAAACGGCCACGGTGTCAGTACACGATCGGCTCGGGTACACGATCGGCTCAGGTGCATATCCGTCGCATCCGTCATATGACGTCATATCCGGCGTCATTTTCGCGGGCTTCTCTGCGTCAACCGTCACAGTATCATCATTACGTTGTATGACATTGTATGTAGTGACACTTTCAATGTCATTCCCTTGAACAGTGCAAATGTTGGGGAGAAAATAAGTTAACTTTTTGCCATTTGAGAATATCATGACTTTGGAGTTGTCTGCATTTAATACTAACTTGAGTTAAGATAAATGGGATGGAAGAACATCAAAGGCAGACTTGGCGCACACCCTTTCAAATCAAATCAATCAAATCAAGTGTTATTTCTATAGCACATTTATAAACGATTTTTGGTTGAGCCAAAGTGCTGTACAAATAATAAAAATAGCCTTTAGTAGAGACATTTTACGGCTAATACAACAACAGCAGTTTGTTCAGAATATCAGTATGAGATAAACGACACCCTCTACCCTTAGACCCTCACATCGTACAAGGAAAAACTTCCAGAGAGAACCCACAGTTTAAAGCGAAAAACTAACCGCTAGCCGCAAAGCTAGCATCACAGCCACTGCTCCGTTTTCGGAGACTTTACACCGTTACATGCAATGTCATACAACGTAATGATGATACTGTGACCATATCTATGACTGTGACGGTTGACGCAGAGAAGCCCGCGAAAATGACGCCGGATATGACGTCATATGACGGATGACGGATGCGACGGATATGCACCCGAGCCGATCGTGTACCCGAGCCGATCGTGTACTGATACCGGTCGACCGCGACCTCTGGTCTATAGTGTACTCGACATTGAGAAATGACCATAGTTTGGTTTGAACATTTATTTTTTCTACAATTTCAGTGATCCTTCACACTTTTCTATGAGTTCCGCCCTTTATGTTTCTTTCTTTCTTCTGTTAGGATCAGGTATTGTTTGCCAGAACAAGAAAGTGTATATCTTCAGTGTTTATTTTAGTCTGATTGACTCAAACTGTCATCAGTTCAGACTGCCTTTGTGCTTCCTGTTGGATTCAGGACGACTGTGTCTGTCCGACTCCTCTGAAGCTCTCTTGAATTACGTGTAAATAAACACAAAAACCCAACCGTGTCTGCGGGGTGAGAGCTTCTAGGACACACTGCAGCTACAGTGGGAAGTCATTACCTTGCCTGCAGAGGTGTTAAGGATATGATTTTGAATGTTGTTGATATGGTAGCGATTCAGAAGACTTTAGTAGATGAAAGTGGCCTCAAAATGCAACTCTAAAATCTGTTATCGATTAATTGTCCTGGAGTTATTTTCACTGTGTTTTGTTCTGCATGATGCGTGCGAGTGTAACTCAACACCCACATTAATGTTATAGCATTCATCGACATATCAAATGTATCATCTATGGTGGCCGACTTCAACGGCCCGAAACACTCCCATTAGGAGAAACACGCTGCACTTTGAAAAACGATGTACATATAAAAACACAAATGTGCCAAAACACATGCAAATGATGAAACATCTTCACCAACTTGACAACTAACGCACAGCATTTAGAAAACTAATGTAATAAACAAAACACTGCAAATACAAAATACTTCAAGAAGCTCAAACACAACGAAAACGGGGACGCCAAAGTATTCTCACAGTTAGTCTGTTTCATAATTGTAAGTGTTTTGTCAGTATATTTGAAATAACTAGGTTAGCTATGTTAGCTAGTGAGATCTGCAATAATATCGGAAGGAATCATATCGCGAATAAAACTTAGATTTTAGTCAAGTTTCCACTTGACAACTTTATAATCATTGAACGTCCCCAAGCGCTCCATTCCCAGCTGTGTGCGTCACTTTTTAGTGTCCCCGTTTCCGTTATGTTTTGAGTGTTTTTTTATTTGCAGCGTTTTGTTTTTGCAGTGCTTTCAGTAAACTCTGCGGATGAGTTGTCAAGTTAGTGAAAGTGTTTCTTCATTTTATTGTGTTTTGGTACATGTGAGGGTTTTTTTCATTGTTTTTTAAACTGGACTGTGTTTCTGTTTTAGGCTGTTGTAACGCGTTTGTCGCTGTCGGCCACCGTAATCATCTCAGTTGGAAACACACTGATATTTTCGGCTGTCAGAGGACTCTTTCATAATGGGAGAGTTGGATGTCGTGGAAATTCAGTTTTTCACTGCTGATCCCGTTTGTCCATGAAGCTTCCATGCTGTTCATCATTGTTAATTCTCCATAAGACTGTAATCTCCACCCTTGACCCACAGCACAGATAGAACTTGTCCTGAATTGCTGCTGCCAAATCCTGGAAACATCCTGTGTCCAGTCAGACAAATTGTTTTTCTACTGGATGGACATCTGAGGTCATGAGAAACAAACCTTTGGGGATTTGTTTCTCTCATGCTCTCTGCACGCTTCTTTGCTAGCTTTCGATTTGCTAACGGTGTTTCGGGACAACTTCTATTAGTTCCGCTGTGATCTGAAAGAATATCACCTGAGTTAAAGTCCTGTTATTTTGCTCGGCAGCTTTGACACCGTCGGCTCCCTTGGCCCTAATGCCACCTCCATCCTCGGGGAGGAACCAGCCCGTGACAGTGTCCCGTCTGCAGATGCAGCTCCACCTCCAAGGCCTGCAGCAGAACACCAATGCACTGCGCAAACAACTGTCGCAGCTACGCAACATGCAGGTGTGTGAAGGAAAATGACCAGATCACAGGCATTATGGCTCTATACATCTTTGTCTCTTTTAGAAACAATTCTTAAATATATATAATGTTATTATTGCTTTAGTAAAGCTCTAAGTGGTAGCTTCTCAAACTCCCACTTCTTAACTCAGGTTATCAAACAGCAGAAAGAAAAATTCAGTGACAGCCTTTTGTTATTAATGACAGAAAAGCCCGAACATATATATTTTACATGAAACATTGTACAATCTTGTGAATAGTAAGTCGTTTTTATGCCTTTAACTTAAAGTGGACCTATCATGCTATATTTTAATAATATATTGTAGGACCATACCTGTATAAGGCATATTTATACTTTTTATTTTTCAAAATACCAAACAGATCATGCATTTTAGCCATTCCTCATTTCGCTCAATTTAACACTGTCTTTGCATGGGCTGATTCTGTGAGAACAGCACCATCTACAGGCCTGGCATATGTACTACAGCGTCTCCAGCGCTTTCGAACGGCAATGTCCGTGGCTGTCTCCTCCTGATTGGTGGAGTTGGCCCAATAGCCGTAGCGCCACTTCTGTGACGTCATAGAAGTTTTCAAATCTGGATCAGTCTGTATCAGATCCGTTGCATCCCCTTTTTAAGAGATTTGAGTATGGAGGAAAATAGAGAGGGTTGTGTTTTCTGACACTTGGTGAGTTCCCTGGAACACCGGGGACACATATTCATGTATAAAAGACGTACAAAAGTGCATTTTGCCTGATAGGTCCCCTTTAAATGTAATACAATCTAATTGTATGTAACACTTTAGAGATGCATCTTAAAACATGCTATACAAATGCAGATAGAATTATTATTTCTTAGTTGAAACAACTCCTTTCTAAATCAATTCAAGGGTAATTACCTTCATAAAAGTAGAAATGATGAACAATTCATTATTTTCAACTACAGCTGCAACGATATGTTAATCCACCATAAAAAAACGTAACCCACTCTTATAATAATCAAATATGTAATGGTCATTCTTAGTAACAAAATGGCCTAAATATGGGAGTTCCGGAATATGGATTTCCTTTTTCCTATTTTAAATCTTGTAAGGGTGAAAATCTCTGGGTTTTGAACTGACAAAAGAAAAACATTCAAAGACATCATCTTGGATGTTTTCACTATTTTCTGACATTTTTGATATAGAAATGAATTCGTGATTATGGCATTTGGTGGTTACAGCCCTAGTCTTACCTAGTATCTACTGTGTGTTAGGGCGTGCTTGCTCATACATTAGTTTAGAAACAGTGTAAATACACATGACAGAAAGGTAGTATAAACCATATTTCTTGGTGTCCCAGCTGGAGAACCAGGACTCAGTGCTGGCCCTGCTGAGGCAGACAGAGTCCGAGCTCAGCCTCATGATGCTGGATGCCATGCGCACACAGGAGGACCCACTCCAGAGACAGCGCCTCCTGGTGGAGGAGGAGAGACTCAAGTACCTCAACCAGGAGGAGCTGCTCATCCAGCAGCTGCAGTGAGTTCAGATCACCGTCCATTTATTTAAAAAACACAATGAATAAAGGAGAACACACAGGGACAGTATGGAGGGATATGAATCTGTGACCCTGGTCCCCCACAGTGACCTGGAGAAGTCGGTGGAGGAGCTGCAGAGGAACTCTTCGGTGAATCACGGTCTGGTGACGGAGCAGGACGTTGAGCAGAAGAGCAAAGAGCTGAGAATGCTGGGAGAAACGCTAACAGAGCTCAAAAGTAAGTGTGGTCGTGACCTTGAGTGTGTGTCGGGAGATTACTGTGATTTTTCTAGTGTAGCATTTCATCATATTGCAAGCTTGATGCAGCCACTTAAAGCTTTCCCTGTCTGTCTCAGTGCTTTTACCCTGAAACTGCCAAGCATTTCAGGGCAGCTGCTTTCAAAATGTTCAAATCCTGCCTGGCTTACTCTGTTTCTCACCCTGCTGTTTTTACAAGCATGTTTCTTTCAAAACCATTGCCGAATGCTTCTACGAACAAACACCTTGTGGTGGGAATCAAAGCTGTTCTATCTTCCTCGTCTGTACCATAGAGCTCCATTATTGTTGCATCTACAATACATTCACACTGTTGCCCTTGGTGACTTATATTATAATGAACACAAGCCGTTGTTTATTTTTAAATCAATCACATATTCACTAGAGCAGGAATGCCCACACTTTTTCAGCTTGGGAGCTACTTTTAAAATGACCAAGCCCAAATGATCTACCTACTGCCCCTGCCCAATCTGTGTCAAGA